GCTACCGAACAAATGGACCCTTTTGGGGGGGGTGCCCAGATGCTGTTACCGAAACGACCCTCCCCTTCCCCAGGGTCCCTCGGTTGTAGGTCCTTTGCCTGCCGCCCTTGGAATTAGGGCTCTGAATGGCAGAGTTTGGTGAAAAGGAAAGGAACTATTTATTCAAAAATTATACAGGTTTGATTAAGGCTAAATGTCGCTCTTAAATCTCAAAATCCCTTTAACCCACCAACACACATAGTCCTGCCTTCCCCGCTTTGCCCAGTCAGGCCAGTCAGGGGCACCGTCCTTCAGAAGAAAAAGAACGGAAGTCCGGGGCTCGGCTGGGCAGGCCTCTCGCGGTTCTCAGCCCCATCCGCTGCATTGCCGGGACCTCCAGCTCTTAATCCATAACCATGTGGCGCCTTCCCATGGCCCTCTAGCAAGAGTCCTTTCTCCCCTCTTTCTTCCTGCATGGTCTTCACACTGTTCCCCAGAGTCTGTGTCCCTTTGTCTCTCCCGCAGGCCTCTGTCTCTCCTCCTTCCTCTCCCAGTTACATTCTGTATTAAGTCTTTCAAACCTTCCTGATTAGCCTTGGTGAAATGCAAAATAACCCTCTTTGCATATGAGGAATGAAGCTCCATGGCCCTGCTCCAGGTCTTCCATTCCCCTTGGCGGCCTTCCTTGGGGTGGGGAAGAATATATTTTTCTTAAGACACCCCAATTTTTGGACCCCGTTACAAATACCCTTTAGGGGGGCCCTGGATGTACCCCGTTACACTGTAACTAATATTAAGGAGGAATCCAATTTAGCTTTACAAAGATTTTTTTTCTGTTTTTTTTTTTATTGTGGTAGAGTATAACAAAATTGACCCTATGAACTATCTTTGGATTATTTTTCTATTTCTGTATCTTGAAGCCTCAGGACTTAAAATAAAAAAAATTATCTTGGGCGTTGTTTGGTCGGGTGAGACAAAGGCGATGCCTGCCGCCCTGATGGTTGAGGTTCTGGCTTCCATCATCCCGCGGAAGCCGAAGGAGTTACAGGACTTTTTAGGGTTGCTGGCTTAGCGGCGGGTTTTCCCGGCACACTTAGCTCTGCTCGTGCTCCCTCTTTATCACCCACGAAGGAGCCACCTGGGATTGGCGGGAAGAGCAGGCCCAGGCCTTTAAGTCCGCTAAGCAAGCAGCGAAGACCGTACAAGCACTGGGGGTCGTGGATCAATCTCAGACATGTGCTTTGGGTATTCACATCACCCCTGAAGGCTACGTTGGAGACTCTGGCGATGGCCAGGGTGCACCAAGGTGCCCATTGGCTTCCAGTCCCAGCTCTAGAAGGGGTGGAGCCTCGATACAGCTCACTAGAACAACAAGTGAACGCTGTTTACCAGGCTCTCCTGCCTACTGAAGCTATTACTGGACCGGCTGAGGTTCGAGTCCATACTACCTATCCCTTCGCTGGGTGGGTGCAGGACATGGTAAACCGACCCAAGAGCTCAGCAGCGCAGGCGGCTGCTCTGACTAAGCAGAGTGCGTATCTCCGACAGAGAAGCAAACCAGTGACGCACCGTCTGAGCCAAGAATTGTAGCAGCTTCTGGGCCTGGTTGCTTACAAAGACGTGGGCGCGGAGGCCACTGCTCCTCTTCCCGCGCCTGGGCATCCTATTAAGGAGGGAGAAGCCCCTGTGCCTGAGGACACCTGGTACACTGATGGCTCCTGCCAGGGCCGCCCACCCACCTGGAGGGCGTAGGCCTGCCAGCCCAGCAGGGACAGCATGTGGACGGAGGCTGGCTCAGGACATGGTAGTCAATGGGCTGAGTTGAGAGCTTTCTGGATAGTCACAGCCCGCGAACCTGGGCCGATAACCATCTGCACAGGCACCTGGGCAGAAGACTGGCCCTGTGGCTGTCCCATTGGCAGCAAGATGACTGGCAAGTGGCTGGAAACCCCCTGTGGGGGCAGGGCTTATGGAAGGACATTTATGAATGTAGTCTGGGAAAGGTAACAACTTTTTTTTAAAGATTTTATTTATTTATTATTAGAGAGAGGGGAAGAAAGGGAGAGAAACATCAATGTGTGGTTGCCTCTTGCACGCCCCCCCCTCACTGGGGACCTGGCCTGCAACCCAGGCATGTGCCCTGGCTGGGAATCCAACCAGTGACCCTTTGGTTGGCAGGCCGGCACTCAATCCACTGAGCCCCACCAGCCAAGGCATCAATTCTTTACCATGTCAATGGACTTTCACTTCTCCACAGCTCTGGCAATGTCGAGCCGACGCCTGGCACCCATCCACTGGTTGGGAGAGGGTCCAGCAAAGACATGGCTGAGTGGCTGCGCAGAAAGATGCGCCGTGCAAGACAGAAGACTTCCTGGGAAGTGGTGAAGGCTTGGGGTCTACTGGTCCATTGCTCCGATGCAGTCACAGCCTGGCAGCTATGCACCGTCTGTGCAGACAAGCACCATTGTTGGCTACCCCAAGATACGGGTGGCCCGTGACAGGGGGACACCTGCTGACCCGCTGGCAGGCCGGCTATGTTGGCCCCCGGCTGCTATCTGAAGGCTCATGCTACACCCTGACATGCGTGGACACGGCCACTGGCCTGCCACGGGCAGACCCATGCAAGCGGGCTGCACAGCGAGCTGAGCAGAAGCAGCCAGAAGCAGCTCTCTGCTGCCTATGGGACCCTGGACGTCACCAAAAGTGACCAAGGCACCCATTTCATGGGACATCAGGTACAAGATTGAGCAGGTGCCCTCAGTGCAGATTGAGAGTCCATCCGCCATACAGCCCTGCTAGAGCTGGCCTCATTGAATGGTACAGCGGCCTCTTGAAAGATGCGCTGACCAATGATTCTAGCTCATTCCAGGGGTGGATGGCCCGCCTGTCTGACTGCCTGTGAACACCCATGGTAACGGCTTCTTGGCCCCTTACCCTTGTCTGTTACAACCCACAGCAAACTTCAGTCCCTAACTTACATAGCCTCAGTCCCACTTACATCGCCTCAGTTGGCGGGTGCACACAGCCCCTCTTGCCCCTTTGAGTGCACGAGGCCCTGAGCCGAGGGCCAGACAGGGCATCTGCCGCTCCGTGTACTAACCTAGGACCAGCGTGTGTATTGCCAGACTGCCAAGATCTGTCTTTAGTAGTTCCTTTTAAACATCTCTCATCACCCTCGGACTCCGCTCTGGAAACTCCCTTCCGCAGTGGGCCGGTGTGCTGGCAGCGTCAGCACCGTTCCGATGGGTGGGTCAGCACTGAATTTCCCACCGCCGCCCGCGCCGGCCTACCCTGGTGGATCCACCCAGTGAACCAGACGCGCTGGGACTGGCTGCAAGGCTGGAAAGCTCCCGCGCCGTTTTCAAACAGATGCGTGAAAAGATGTTTTCCCTCGTGAGAGAACAGGCCAACTGGACCAAGCCGTGGGTTTCACACACAGTTTGGAACGGTGTAGGGGGCTTATGTGCATTGAACACGGATATGGTACTTAAATGAGACTGTTTAGCCAATGGGGTGGGAGCCCGCAGCCGAAGCGAGAAGATAACGGTAATGCCAGCTGCCGACCACTGGGGGCAGTCTACTCGAGGAGCACAGGCCCATCCTGTCCCGTGGGGAGCCCTGTGGGCCTGTGGCCAGAGCAGGTGGCCTCACTTCCCATTTAATTGGACTGGGCACTGCACCTGGGCAGAACCGTACATCCCAGGGCGAGTGTTAAATACTCTTCCGAGTGTCCCTCGAAACTGGGGCTCATTCCAGGCAGCTATCGAGTCAAGCTCTCCGCCTGGTGGCTCTACCCACTAGCCCTTTTTGTGCCCCTGCAGGTGCTATTCTAACCCACGAAGCCGTGACGGCCCCAGCAAGTCACACCGCAACAGCTGTTAACCACACCGGACGCGCTACAGCCCTGGTTCCTGACGAGGTAACTCAAATGAGAAAAGCTGTGCCGCAGACAAGAATGGCATTAGACCTCACCGCCGCCCAGCGGCGCGCCTGTGGCCTTCCGCACGCGGAGTTGCACATGTAGCCCTGATAATTCTCACGGTGTAGCCCAAGCTTTAACTGCCTGCCCTAAGAGCGGAGATTAACCATCTATCAGCCATAGCCTCTGACCCTTTTACAACTTGGTGGAATCCTCTAGGTTCTCGGTGGCGTTCCCTTCTCCTAGGTCTCTTTGGGTTTCATCTTGCATTGTTGGTCTTGGGGCGTAGTCTTTACTGGATGTGTGGCGCATGGATGCAGTGTGCCAACATGCTCACGGCGCAGGTGCCCTAAGGCAGGAGTGTGACGCAGGGAGTGTGCAGCTGAGGAGCGGCGCTGGCGTGGAGGGCGGGCCCTGCTGGACGTGGCTCCCCCGCCCCACCAGGACGGAAGGCTGGAAGTAGGGCCCCGTCCAGAAGGAATGCGTAGGGCTTCGGAAATGGATTGTAATTCCCTCCTCCTCTCCCTTTGGGAGAGGCTTCTTGTCCCGTGGGACTGCTTCTTGACCTTTTCTCTTTGCACAAACACACTGAGATAATGTAGTTTAGAGTCACGCGCAAGACGCGTGCCCCCTTTGTTTGGGACCCCTTAAAACAAGTCTTGGACTCAGGGAGGTGCGGTCCCGCTTCGCCGACCTGCGGCCGTCGGCGCTCCTTGTAACGTGAGTAATAAAGGCTGTGTCTGGTCCGTCCAGTCCTCCTTGAAGGTTTTGCGGTGTATTTGTTGGAGCAGTCGAGAGGCTGGGGCTCGACCTTCCGCGTTACACAATGGCACAAGACAAGTCCAGCCTCAGAGGGCACGTCCCACCGCAGACCCAGGGCTCCAAAGTACATATTCCCCGCCCACCACCACCCCTGGTCCCCTGTGTGTGGTTTGCCCCGCCCCCAGCCCAGTGGGTGTGACCCCAGCTCTATGCAGCCCCACCTGGTGCACGGGGTTCCCAAGCTCAGTCCCGCCTACTGTGTGCTCAGTTGCTGTCTTCCAGGCTCCGCGCCCACGACCCCGCTCAGAGGACCGTGCGCGCGGCAGGGCCGGCCCACCGCTCAGACGAGCGCGGGCTTCAAACTGCCGTAGCGGGAGCTCTCCGTGCTGTAGGCTTGCGGCACGCTGTAGATGCCCGGCACAGGCTTCCAGTGGGGACCGCCCCAGGGAAGCTCCAGCGGGCAGAAACGGTCACGCCGGCGGAGCGGGTGCAGCGGGGCGCTGTAGGACTCCCGAACCAGAGGCAGCGCCCCGCGGTGCGGCACAGCAGGCGTCACCGGGCGGGCGCGGGGCACACGGATCCGCGGAGGCTGGGGCAACCGAGAGAAGCGCGGACAGGGCGGCTGCTGCGGGCTGCGGCCCCAGGCCTTGGGAGTCTCCTCGAAGTTCCAGTAGGCCAGCGAGTCCTTGCGGGGGGATCCAAGCAACTCCTTCCTGTTGGGGGAGGCAGGCTGGGGAGAGCGCAGCTGGATCCTAGGGACGAGTCTGAGGATTCAGACCGCGGGTCCCGCGGACGCAGCAGACCTGAACCCTCCGGCGCTGCGAGGGGACCACTTAGAAAAAGCAGGGCTGTGGACTCCTAGCCTGGGTTCCTGGGTGCTCGAGGTACTTAAGCGACTGGAATCTGGGTTCTTTGCCTCCTTGGGATGGAGTATGGCGCAACTCAAATGCCAAAGCAGCCCCGCCCCAGACCCGCAGGGCCCTGCTCCTGATCCAGAACTCGCTCTTGGGCCCTCTGCAGGTTTCACGTTCCTGAAAGTTGATACTAAAGGTACCTCGGCGCTAAAAAAGGTAGGGCCTGGGGTCCGAACTTCTGGTTCTAAACCAGAAGGGGGAGCCGACACCCGGGGACTAGGCGTTCCACCGGCTGCGCGGGCCGTGCAGGGGCTGGTGCGGAGGGGAACCCAGCTCACTTCGGGCAGGCCCGGAAGTCGCGCGCCGCGGTGGTCAGGTAGAACTGACGGCGGTCCAGGATGCCCCGCTCGGGTACTGCGAAAGGCCGGCCGGCCCGCGCGGGGCTCTTAGTCCGGGGGAGTAGAACCTGAGGGGAATCGGGCAGGAGGAATGACCGAGAACGAGATTGCATGTCCCTTTCCAAGCCTGGGTCCCAGACGGCGCGCTCCTCTTCCTTGGGACTCAACAGTCTCTCTGGACCAGGCCTCCACACCCGCCCCCAGCGTCAGAAGCCTTCCTGCCCCCCACTCCCTGCAGGCCAGCGCCCATTCGCTTCGCTCCCCAAATCAGAATGCTCACTAGGGTTACTCCAAATGCCGAACACTTTCTGCCCGTCAGAGAACGCAAAGCCAAGCCCCCCGACTTCCACCTCCCTTGTCGCGCCGCTGGAATGACGCCACACCTGGGCCGACAAAGCCTCGTAGTGTGATTTACTCCCAGAAAGTAAATCTTTCTGGCCGGCGTGACCGATTTACTCCTGGCCCGCCTCTGGCTCCCCCGGAATATTCAAGACAAGTCCCCAAGGACAGTGTTCGCCTGGATCCACCCCCTGCTTCAGAGGCCCCTCATAACCCGCCTTAGCGTTTACGAATTGCGTCCCCCAGCCTCAGAGCTGGGATTTCGGGTCTTTAGTCCCCCGCTCTGCCCCCGCCACCCACTGGCCAAGCGCCTTTCCTAGGTACTCTCCTTACTCCGCTGCAGGTCTTTTTAGCCACGCACCCAGGCTAAAAATTCCTTCTGACCCTGCCCCAGGTCCTCGGTCTGGGCTCCGGCTTTATAGCCCTTGGGACCCACCCCAAGCGCTCCCAGCTCGGTCTCCTCGCGCCCACGCGGTCTTCTCCGCTACCTGAGAAGGGCCGCCGCGGTGGCGGTCCGCACACTCCGGGGCCTGGGGCCCGGCGTAGAGGGTGGCGCCCTGGTCCAGACCGGGCCAGCCGCTGTACTGTGCCCTCGTCTCACTGCACTGGTGCTTCGTGATCAGAGGGAGGTACCAGCCGCGGTGTCTGAGCTGCGGGGAGGCGTTGCGGGGACCCAAGGTGAAGGCGCACCGGACCGGATTGGTGTCCTCAGCCCCGCCCCCCGGCAGGCCTCGGCACACCAGAACCTTACCTTTTCCCCCAAATCCTTGATCCCTAAGATCCGCATGGGGTCCGCAGGCTCTGGGGCCCTGGGCTGCGCGTAGGGCCCGCCGTAGGTCTTGAGCACATAAGCCGAGCCATAAGTTGTCTCCCATCTGTTGATGACCTCGTCGAAAGCCCCGATGTACAAACCTGGCTTTGCGGCTGGGGGCAGGGGCTCCGCCACCGTGGACTGGGCAGAGGCGCCGGGCGTCAGCCGCAGAAGCTCCGGCGCCTGGCCCTCCAGCCCTGACCTCTCCCGGTCGGTCCCCAGCCCTTCCCTCTCTCCAGTTCCAGGCATCCGGGTTCCCTGGCCCTTCCTCGGCAGACCTAGGACTCGGAGACCCTCCTCCTTCAGTTAGGAGTCCAAGCCACCGATCCCCCCGTTCTTTCAGCAAGGTGTCTGGATCTCCGGGGCCCTCCTCCTCCAGACACAGAGTCTGGACTTCAGGCTCCTCTTGGTGAGGAACCTGGGGTCCTCTCACCTGGAGAGTGGGCGGGGGGAAGGGCAGGGGCGGGATAATGTGGTGGGCGACACCACTGCTGGTGAGGTGCCAGCTGGGCCAGGATCCAGGCAGCTCGGTCCCAGAGATGGGGGGCCAGGGAGGGCCATAGCGCAGAGCTAGGGTCCGACCAGCCATAGCCCCTCCCCCTCCCGGTAGCCGGGCCGGAGAGGGTTTGTTGTGGCTGTTGCCCTAGGTGACAGAACCCGCCCACGCTGAATCCAGCCAATGGAGGGCCTGCAGGCGTGTGGATGGGTAGAGCGAGAACGAGACCCAGGCACCGAGGGTCAGGGACTTTGACAAAGGCGGGCAGAGACCCCAAGAGGGCCACAGAAACTCGGAGAAGTTGAGGGGGGGCGGGGCTCAAGCAGGAGGGTAGGCATGGGGAACAGAAGAAGGGGACTTACGAGTTCAATTTTAGAGTTTTAGAGACCGAGACCCCGGCACGGGGGTGGGGGGAGAAACAAAGAGGGGACAGCAGAGAGGGGGCCACAAACGCGGGAGGGGTGCGGTCAGAGATCCAGGAAGAGGGGAACAGTCTGGACAGAGATCCAGAGGAAGAGGAGGATAGAGACCACCCGGCACATCAGGAAATCCGGGAGTAACAACACCCCCCCCCCCATTCCTGTAGGAAACTCCTGTCGGTTCCAGCCCTCCCTCAGCAGCCTGCTCCCTCAGCCAGGCCCGTCCACCTGGGGCTCACAGCTTCCCTGGGGCTGTCCCTCCCTCCCTGTGCGTGCAGAGTCAGCGTCTGCTTTGTCCTGCTGCCTTTGATTCGGCTGAAAACTTCCACCTGGGTATGGGGGTGGGCGAGACCCTGGGAGAAAGACACGGGGAAGTACTTAGCCAAAGAGGGGAGGCTGGTGCTGCAGGAAGAGCTTTGATGAATGAGAAAGAAATGCAAGAATAGGGGAGAGGTGGAGGCTAAGAAACAGAGACAGAAAAAAGAGCTACTGACCCAGAGACAAGAGACAGGAAGTGAGAAGAAGAGACAGGGAATGGGGTGGGGGGCGGGGGAGAGAGTAGAACTGCAGACCTAGAACAGAGATGTAGCCAGAGGCCGTCCACCCTTCCGGGGGGCCCAGTCTGCGATGGTGGGGGGTTTGTTCGTCCGCAGCCCAGAGCTGGCTCTAAAATAAAGCCTGCGCGTTGGTAACAGGTGTGAGGCTATGGAGTGGTATTACATGAAGGGGTGTCCTGAGGATGTGGGGGTCTGCCCCTGACTTCTCTTGTCACTGCCTCTCTTGAAAGACCTTTTGTCAAGGCCTCTGGCTCCTCAGCCCTCACTAACTCATTCTACCAACCCATTCTTCAGACAGGGAAAACTGAGGCTGCCTTCTGATCCCCTCCCTCAGGCTTCCAGTGTCCCTTCTGTTGGATTGTTTTGCATCACTCCAGGCCTGTCAGTGTCCAAATGACCCCTCATCCTCACGGAGTTTCAGGCCAGTGGGTCACAACTTCATGCCTTACTCAAGCTGGACAATTTTAATGTTTATTTCTTTCCCAATGTGGGGTAAAGATCAAGACAGGGAAGGGTGGTAGAAACCCGACTCTAATCCCCCACCAGGGCCAAATTCTCTAGCATCCTGACCTCCTATCTTGGGTACCTACTGTGACGGGTAGGTCACTATCTCAAAACAGAACATTCTTGCCCCATCTGACCTAGTAAACTTCCCATTTGAATCCCAGCTCCCAGCGAGTTGCTTACATGTTCCAGTTTTTATGCCCCCCACCCGCTTCTTGACACATTCCTTCCTAGTCACTCCATCCAGGATGGGCAAGGTGATGTCCCCTGAGATCACATTGTCAGCAACTTAGAAGCCAAAGGCCTCCAGGGTCAGATCTACCAGAGCTGATCTGACAGGTTGTGTATTAGAGCTGATAAACAGTAGGCACTCAGAAAATATTGGCTTTCACCATCATCGTTACCCTTGGGTTCACAGGAGAATTCCTATTCATCCTTCAAAACCCCATTTGGTTTTGTCTCATACAAAATGTACAGATTGAGCTCTCGAAATCAGAGAGCTATGATTTTGTAACTGTTTAACAAGTTCCCAAAACGAGGCCCAGAGCGGCCAGGTCACGCCTGCGGTCCGCCAGCATCCAGCTCTCCTCGTCCTCTGCTTGCCCAGTCCCTGGACCCAGGTCTCAGGCCCGGCCAGTCCGGCTGAGGAGCGTGCAGACGCAGGCGGTGTCGATTCGAATCCATCGCCAGCCCACGCGGCCCTGAGCATCCGTGGTCAATGCCCGCACATAGGACTGCTTGGCCTTACACTCGGACACCCAGTGCCTCCGGTCCACGCCCCGGCAGCCCCCTCCACCTGCACCGGGGCCACCTTCCCCGGTGTTGTCAGCCTTGCAGCGGGTCTCAAAGAAATACTGGCGAAGGGGACTGCCGCCAGCTGCAGGCACCTCGCCCAGCACCTCCACCTCGCGCCCACGTAGGTCCACAGCTGTCCTGCGGTCTGTCACCCAGCTGCTGACTGCATCGCACACAGCCAGCTCTCCCCGGCGACTCGCTGGCGCTGTCTCGCTCACCCCTCGCCGACTGCGGTTGGCCGGGCTGCCCGGCGGCTCCCCGAAGGCCCCAGCCTCCAGCAGGAAGAGCAGAGGGGGGCCCGCAGGGGCACCCCTGGAGAGCACTACTCGGGGGGACAGGAGGTCCCACTCAGGGGCCGGAAATGGAGGCAGCGGTGAGGGCGGGGGAGGGGGCTCCATCGGGACACTGGGGAGGAGGCTAAGGAGGAGGATGGGGAGGGACCATGAGGGGTGGAGGAGCATCTCGCTGAACACCTGAGGGTGGAGAGGGAAGCGGGAGTTAGAGGAGCGGGTAACAACTTGGGGGGGGTCTGCACACCAGAACCACAGTGGGGCCTTTGTTCTAGAACCATGGGGGACCCCTATATTCTAGGATTGGATAACACCCAAATCCCAGGTTATTCTACTGCTAATACTAATAATGATGATAATGATTCTACTACCATTACTAATAATGGCCAACAATTGGGGAAACGCAGGCCCAGAGAGGTTAGTAACTTGTCCCAGGTCGCACAGCCAGCAAATGCCAGAGCTGGAACCCGATCTGAGCAGCTGCCTCTACAACCCCGAGGGACCCTCAGTCCCGCAGCCTGGAGGAGGTCTGAGGGTCCAAAATTGAGGAAGGCCACTTCTGGAATTCTAGGGGGACCCAACTTCTGCTCAAAACTGCCAACTCGCAAAGCAAGAAAAGTCAGACAGGGTCTCAGTTTCCCTGTCTGGGAAATTGATCTGGGGCCTCGAGATGCAGGCGAAGGTGTGGGTACTGCATTTTCTCTACAACATTCTGGAAGACTGTGGTTCTGGGAAAGGGTGGTTACCAGACCTGTCAGCACCTACTCCACCTCCGAGCTCCCGGGCTGGGGGCCCCCAGGCTCCAGGGGGCCCCTGTAGGGGACACAGGTGGCCCCCTCCTTCCTGACATCTCAGTAGAGGGAGGGGGCAACTACCTAGGGGAAGAAGGGAAGCGGCAGGTTACATAGGCAGGTGGGGGAAGGGGCCTGAACCCCTGACGCGCCCCTTCCAAGTGTTTCTCTTAAAGTGCAGGGTACCCAAGAGTCAAGGCCACGCCCCCTTTCCAGAGGCCCCTTCCCTGCCCAGGTGATGGCTCCTGGCGGGGATGGAAAGCAGATGGGGGAGGAGAGGGGAGAGGAGAGGCTGGAAAAGATTACATCCTCCTCGGCCCATTCATCTCTCAGACAGGGTGGGGGTGGGGCTGGTCTGGACACCCGGGTACCTGAGGGCCCACACTCAAGAAGCCCTGGGTCCCCGAGGCTGCTTCCTGGAATGTTTTCCCCACACGGGACAGGCCAGGGCCCGTCCAAGACTTCTGCTGCACATACCTGGAGAGGCTGCCTGCCCTGGCTGGGAGATGGGGAATGGGAAGGTGGGGTGTGAAGAGGGGCGCGGGACCAGGAGTGGAGGTCCCCAGCTGCCTCTTCCCTCGGACCAGGAGTCCTGGGTCTCAGTTGCCTCGGCGCTTGGGGTCCAGACCCCCTGCCCCCTCCCTCGGAGGCGGCGAGAGACCAGGCCCCCAAATCCCTCCTCCCTCAGACTCAGGAGTTGTGGAGTTCAAGGCCCCTCCTCCCCCGACACTCAGAAGTACGGACTTCCAGAAGATTCAGGCTGAGAGTCCGAACCCCTGAAACCCCCCTGGGAGAACCCGCCGCTTCTCGGGGACGCTTCTCTCCTGCCTCAGTTTCCTCCGCCAAGCCCCGCCCCCGCCAGCCCCGCCCACGTCCCTCCCTACCCGGGGGCAGGGCGACCCGGACGCCGGAATCCCGCAGGAGGAGGCGCCGAGGCTCTTACCTGGGGCGCCCTCCTCAGCTCCCTCGGCTGCCCCTGGCGCGGCGGCGCCTCCTCCTCCTCCTGCTCGTCGGCTGCAGGGACGCGCGCTCGCTCGCCGGCTCCTCGCTGCACACGCTCCGGAGGGCCCAGGTCGGGGGCGGGGGCGGGGCGGCGCCCGACGGCGGAGGAGGGGCCGGGGGATCCCGCCTTCCACACGCGGGCCAGGACCTCGGAAGCCCGGCCTGGCTTGCTCAGCCCTCCGCCCGCCTCGGTCCCAGGAGTCCGGGCCACCGGACCCTCCTCTCTCAGTCCCGGGAGTGGGGACCCGCGGCCTTCTCCCCGCTCAGACCCAGGAGTCCGGGTCCCCAGCCCCCTCCCTCCTCAGACCCAGAAGTCCGGGCCCCCAGCCCTCTCCTCCCTTAGACTCGGGAGTGGGGACCCCAGCCCCCTCCTCCCTCAGACCCGGGAGTGGGGACCCCAGCCCCCTCCCCCCTTCCTCAGACCGGGGAGTCTGGGTCTGAGATTCCTTTGCATTCTCTTGCCAGTGAAGTGTCAATCCCCAGGCAGATTCCCACCCTCTGCTCTCATCCTCACTTTCCCAGGAGCTCCAGGCCAGACATTAACCAGCTGGGCTTGGGCAGCGATAAGGCCCCAGGCCGGGGAGACAGGGATGTAGGGGGCTCTCCCACATAGTCTCTCCTGGAATTTCCTGCGTGGGAACTGGGGAGAGGGTCTTGCCCTGAGCTCAGATAAGAGAAAGTCAAGGTATTATAGGACTCGGAGAGAGATAGGGTTTGAGGACCGAATGACCTTAGAGAAAGAAAGTGAATAGAGACAGACGAAGGGGGACGGGTAAAAGGCACATTAGTGGAGAGGACAAGGGGACAGAGTCCAAAAGAAAGAGAGGGACAGAAAGCCAGAGAGAGAGAAGACATAGACCCAAAGAGAGGAAACAGACGGCTGGAGAGAAGGCGCCAGAACGCGGAAGGGGGACAGGGACCCAGGCAGAGAGAGAGAGAGAGACAGACCCTTTGACAGGGAGAAGGAAGCTGGAGTCTGGGACAGTCCTGCCTCAGGGCCCTTCACCCCTCCCCAGAGTTATTTTCAGGAGGAAAGTTGACACTTGCCTTCTGGGGGGAGGGCATCCCGTACCCCTCCCTCCTAAATATAGCATGGCAAGGTGGCAGGAAGGGTGTCCCCAGATTAGGGTGTTCCCCTCTCCTCTTCCCCATCACAGCCAAGGCAACACAGAACACAGCCACAGCTGTTGATCGGGCTGGGGGAGGGGCCCTTCCCAGGCTTTGAGTGTCCAGTGGAGTCACCTCCCTGACCTCTCCACGCTCCTCCCCATCCCTAAGCACCCAGCATGTCCCACCCCTACCAGACAGAGTCTGTGTAACTGCCAGTCTCTGATTGGGTAGCACCAGGGAGTCAACAAAGAGGAGACCCTGGGCAGTGGTCTGTGGGCCCCTTTCACCGATTTCCTTCCCCCTCTCTGGGTCTCCTTACCTGTCCACCCCCCCCCCCCCCGGACTCTGTTCTACTCTCTCTGGGTCTCTGTACCCACCCCGCTCTCTGACCCCCTCTCTCTGGACCTCTGACCCTTCTCCTCTGGTTCTCTCCCCCTCCTGCGGGTCTTCGTCTTCCCCCTGGGCCTCTGACCCCCTCCCAGGCCGCTGCTCCCCGCCCCGCATGGTGGGTGTCTCTGCCTCTGTCCTCTCTGCCGCCTCGGCTCCTCTCCGCCTGTCCCCTCCTCTTCAGGCCTCTGTGCTGTGCTCTGCGCCTGCCTCCAAGACTCTGCCCATGCCCGTCACCATGGAGGGGGTCTGTCTCCGTTTCTGCCTCCAGATGTGCGTTTCTCCCCATTTCAGAGAGAAGTGACAACCTAAAGGTTATATTATTTCCAACCTTTATCAAACTCCTCCCGCAATCTGTACCTTCTCCTATCTCTCTGGGTAAAAAGGTAGTCGGATTAAATCAGGCGGGGGACCAAACTGAGTTTCTTAGCTACCTTCCGAGGTGCCAGTTCCCTTCTGATGGGTCACCGTGGTGCCTCTAAGTAAGATTTCATTTAACCAAGGAAAAAAAAAAGGGAGGGGGTTAGTTATAGATAAAAATAACAATAACAACAACACTCTGTAAACCACTGGGGTTTTAATAAATTAATATGAGTAAAGTATTTGAATGGCGCCTGGCACATAGGAAGCCCTATATGTGTTAGCAATTTAGCAACCACCCCCTCCTCCTCCTCAAAATGCCCTCTGCACTGAAAGACCTCCAACGATGTTTGGCTTCATGACCTTGGGTAACACCCTTGCCTCTGAGCCTCAGTTTCCTTGTCTGTGGGGCTGTTTGGACTTGGGAGGTCTTGTGAGGACCAGCAGGCTGACGAGACACGAGGGGTCAGGCAGCCTGCCACAAGCCCTGGCCCCTGGGGACAGTCACAGTGACGGGCTGCCTGACCTTGGAAAGCCACTCTCATGCTCTTAAGACTCAGGTTTCTCCCCGGGTTTGTCTGACAGCGCTCCCGGGCCACGCGGAGACGGGGCAGAACGCCCCCATTTGGGACCCTGTGGCCTAGAGACTCTGCATCTCTCTCTGGCTCAGCGGCACTGACGTCTGCTGCCCTTTTCTTTGCTTCTCCTTCTCTGGGGCGCTCTGGTCTGCCTCCAGTGCTGGGTGTCTGTCTGTCTCTCTTTGGGTGCCTGACACCCTCCTCCGCATCTCCATCCCCCACTGTTGATCTCTGTCTCCCTCTCGATTTGGGTTTCTGTCCTCTTCCCTCTGGATCTTTGTCTCCTCCTTTCTGAGTCTCTGTTCCTCTCTCTTTGGGCCTTTCTCCCCTCCACTCTGGGTTTCTATCTCTGAGTCTTTATCCTTCCCTAGGTCTCTACCCCCTCCTCTGGGTTTCTGTCCCCACACCATGTCCGGACAAAGTACAGAGAACATCTCCCTCCCTCCTCCTTCCCTTGGGGCTCTGATGTCCATGTCTGGAAGCAAAACTGCAGGTGAGGACAGATAGCAAGAGGGTTTCAATGGCAAAATGGAGCAGGTGCGCAATAAATAGAAGGAGCGTCCAGTTTGCATTGTTTCCCGGAATCCACAACACCGCCTTTGCTCCCTGATACATGACTCCTCCCCAATGCTGATATCCTTGGGTGCTGGTGCTACCACTAAACCCAAAACAAACCAACATGGCCCTCCGGAGTTCATACATACAGTCCAACTTACCCCAACACTCCTACCAGACTCAGAATGGCAAACTCAGTGTAACTCGCCTCCGCCCGACCCTGTGAGACTCACATGGTTATACAACTCAGTACGGCTCAAGTCAATGTAGCCCTGAAAAACTTGCAGCCACATAACTCGACATAATTCAACTCAATAGAACCCTGAGAGACTCATATGGTCATACATTCCAACCCAGCTTACGCTAATGTGACCTAGAAAGCTCACATTCTATCACCTGACTCTTCGTATTTCTACGTGACTCACAAGTTCACAGGACCTAAAATAACACGGCCCTAGAAGAATCACAAAGCCACACAATTTCCAA